ATCTCAAGCAGTTTCTCCCTTGTCGCCAAGGCTATTTTGATTCATCAGCGCATGGTTGCACCGCTGGGATTTCGGCTTTTCTGGAAGGATCGGCTCTCGCGCCACATAAATAATGAGGGCAACCTCGCGTTTTGAAACAATGAGCGTGCCCGTCTTTTTGACGAGGGAAAGACACGTTAAATTTACGTCATTTTTTACAGTGTAAAACTCTCGATCGACGGTGTTGTTCGTTGTTGCAATTGTATATCTCTTTTCACGTGAACTGAGATGTCTTAGAGTTTTGCAAGATAAATCTACACCATGAAACACTTTCGGTGAAAGCTTGAGGTTCTTACATAAAGGCGCCAATTTCTCCAGCCAATTTCAGAGCGAGCTTTCATTCATAACACCACTTCGCTTACGGGGTTCAGAAGTTCATTTGCGCTGCATGCGACCATGCAGGGTGGAGCATCTTATGTCCTCATTATTAGCCGTAGTTTATTTTGCCTCCTGTCCTTTTGATTGCTGTGTATGCAGATATCTGAAACAGCCTATAGTGCGCTGAGATCTGTATTACAAAAACACCGGATTATCCTGCAAACGTAATTTGTCCACTAGCCTATGAGGCAGCACGCAAGTGGCGGTGCACTTTGAAAACAAAGTCATGTGCATGCTTTTTCATCAGCAGCATTAAACACTTGGTGCGATTGCCCTCAATCGCCTAGCTTCCGAATAGTGCTAACAGTTTTTTTACAGTAAACTTTTATTCTTCAATAAAGGTAACAAATACAGCTCAGGGAAAATAAAAGCAATCTTTGCAATAAAAGTAGACTGTTCAATTGATAAATATAGTAGAAATGACTAGCTAAAATAATTATTGAGAAGTTAGATAACGCTACTCTCCGTGGCGTACAATGTAGCTAATTTTTCTATTTGTGCTTTTTTTAGGCGTAAGTCCATGTTGCATTTGCGACGTAAGTATGCTATGACAGTGCCGTCCGTTTCCCCGGGGACCTTTTGGACCACGTGGTCTGCAGTGAAATGAGAAATGAAGCAACCCTTTGCCACATTATGTCAGCTATACCCGGTGATATATTTTAATCAACTGGTTTCAAGAAAATTGGGGGCTCACTGTCATGTTGATATACTCTTCATGTGTGTCGTGCGACTCGGCGGACATTACATGGGTAAATAACCGTGGCAACATTTTTTTAAGTAATTAAAATCCGTAAATTTACTTTTTTTATTATTGCTGTTTTAGAGGCAGTTGTTATTAGAGCCTAACACAATCAAAACTACTCACGAAACAGCAAGGGGCTTTAAGATATTTATTTATCAAATTTCGGACTTTTTCCCTCGATTTAAGAACCACGCGCGGCAGGGGCGGGCAAAGTGGAGAGTGACTTAGCGGTTTTGACATGGCATATCGGTGATGGCATGTTTGTTTCTGTTAGCGAGAACTTCTCATACTGAAGTTGTATGCATTATTTAATTTTCTAGTGAAGTTACAACCCTCATAACGTGCTGTCGCATTCAGCCTGAACGAAGTTGCACTCTTTTGACAGTGTGCCTTTGGTGGATGCTCCAGCATCATACTTCCAACGGTTCGATTGAAGAGAATACGTAAGAATAGCATCCTGCGCTCTGTCCAGTGCGCTGCTTTTAATCAAGCGACGAAAGGCAGAGTTTTAGCTATGAATAACCCAAAACTCGTCACCTTTTCGCAAAGTGCTTCAGTTGGGCTAGAGTTTATTCATAGCCCCTTTAAAATTGAAAATTCAACATGGTCAATTATATTGTAAATTAAAAAAGCCAATTAGACAACGTACTGCGTCATTTATTTACTCATCTAATGCCCACCGAGCCCCACAAATATTCTGTGAAAACGGCATCGGCCTATCGCGGTTTTAGTGTTATGATGTTAAAAATCGCACTATATATATATATATATATATATATATATATATATATATATACCCGTTATTATAATTTGACTACACCGACTGCAAGCACTGAAAGTAGACCTTTAGTATACTTAAGTGCACTTTGGGTATACTGATTTTGGACTACTTTTTACCGCGGGCAGTACGATTCTACTACAAGTACTAGTTTTGTGCGGACGAGTATACTTTCAGTCCACCGCCATTTTTACTGGAAGTATACTTTAAGTACACTTATAGTATACAGTCAGTACAAAGACCGCAATGAAGGTATACTTTTAGTATACTTCAGTACACTTCGAGTGTACTGATTTTGAACGACTTTTTGCGAAGGGTAGGTCCGTCTTCGGCAACGCCAACTCCAGGCGTTGCCGCACTTAGTTTTCCCGGCGACGCAGGGGAGACACGCTTTCTCGGCGGGGTCGTGACACTGGAAACGCTGAACTTCGTGGCGATGGGGCGCGGGCTTCACGGCGGGGAGATGACACTGGGGAGGGCAAGCGTCGGAGGTACTCCTCGATGTCGCGAGGGCGTTCGCCGTACCTCGGGCGTGGGTCGTTCGGATGGAACCCACGCAGGCCCATTTACCGGTAAAGACAACGGCGGTAAGTATGGTCGGCCTCCCCACAGTGGTAGCAGATGGGTCGTCGATCCGCTGTCCTCCACACGTCGGTTTTCCTTGGCGCCGGCTGTTCTCGGCGGTCGTACTGACGTACTCGTCGTTGCGTCGGGGGTACGCCTGCGTTGGTGGGTCTCGTCGTGGCGCCACCGGGTAATGTTGAGCAGTTGGCGGCGGTCGTCGGGCCACTGCGGCGTAGGTCACTGTCGGCTCATCGCCTGCTGCCACGCTTGCAGGAGTCTCCGGTTGAATTGCCCGCTGAACTTCTTCGCGTTCCACTTCGGCTATCGACAGCGAAGCCGGCTGGTTGGCAGCAGGCAGCAGCTTCCTGAGCTCTTCCCGGACGATGTCGCGGACAATTGCCCGAAGAGTGTCAGCGCTGATGCCGCCCTCGTCGAATCGGGAAGACGTCAGCGTCGAAGCAGCAGGCATGCCGGCGAGTCAGTTGTAGTGGGTGGCTCGGATTTTATTTATTTATTTATTTATTTATTTATTATACCCTCAGGGCCGAAGCATTACAGCCCTTAGCGAAAAGTCGTTCAAAATCAGTATACTGAAAGTATACTGAAAGTATACTAATAGTGAGCTTAGGGTATGTACTGAAACCGTACTAGTTTCACACTTTTATGAAACAAAATAGTGTACCTTTAGTACACCCCAAGTACATATGTAGTATACCATAAGTGCACCTCGAGTGTACTTTTAGCATACTATAAGTGCACGTTTAGTACACTACATGTATGGTTTTAGTGTACTAAATGTACACTACCAGTACATATATGCGGAGTGTCCCAGATAACTTCCACCAAACTTTAAAAAAAACACAAAAAAAAACGGAGCGTTCTCCGGGAGTGAAACCAACTGTACGCTGTTAGAAAGTCTCTTGCGAAGGTGCACGAAATTGTTTTAGTGCGCCTATTTACTTAATTAAGAGTAACAAGCTAACTTTTTAAACCTTCGTTTAAAAGCCAAAGTGTGAAATGGAAAGTTGTAGAGCGCATTAACACCCAATTAAACCATTTTCAACAAGGTGCGCTTTGCATGCTCCTTTTTCCTAGCCTTCAAAAGAAACGCCCGCGAAATACAAAAAAATACCGCGTGACAACTCGCTTCCCCAATCACGGCGTGCGAGCGCGCCGCGAATGTGCGTGCTTTGAAGGCCCGAAAAAAGCACGAAAACGTATTGTTTCAAACACTTTAAATGGGTGTTTCTCAATGCGCCCGGCAACTTTACAATTAACATCTTGGCCCTTAAAAGAATATTCGAAAGGTTAGCTCAATAATCTTAGTTATTTACATAACCAGGCGCATTAAAAAAATCTGTGCACTTTTTCAAGACACTTGCTAACGACAGTTGATTTCACTCCTGCAGAGCCCTCCGGTGTTTCTTAAGTATGGTGCAAGTTATCTGGGACTCCGTGTATGTCGGGCGTTTTGAATGGAAAGCACGGTCTCAAATTGACCAGAAAAATCGCCGCCTGCGTTTAAAAAGCTGGGAGGCACTCACTTGATCGAATGACGTTTTAGCGAACGCCCACGTTTCACCGGATTACACTTTAGCGAATAGTCGGACGCCGCGAAGCGGCGTTTTCGGGTGGGCCAAGTGAGTTCATATTTTTGTAATGAGTTGCCGCAGACTGTCGCCGCGAAGCGGCGTAAAGCGCAGCGCGACGGATGGGTTAACGCGCGCCCCCGTTATTCGCTAAAACGACCATTCGCTCAAATGTCGCCGTTCGCTAAAATGTCATTCGCTCTTGTGATATGCACCCTAAAAAGCTGACTTTTCAAACGTGCTTCTTTGAACGGCTGTATTCCAACCTGTGAAATTTCATCTTATACAGCTCCATTCTCGTGAAATGTTAAGAAACGCCGTTGACAACTCAATTGATGATGATAATGCAGAGGAGCCACCACCGGGAGATGCACTCTCAAAAATGAGTCAGGAAATTAACGAGGAAATCTTTGGCAGCTCTATTCCTCGTGAGAATGACGTACCGGCGTCTTCTGAAACTGTGTGAGAAAAGCCATAAAGAAGAGGTGCACTGCATTTTTCAACTGAAAGCATGTATGTGTAGCATACAAACATTATGGTTAGTGTTCTTCATGTAATTGATAAGACAGAAATTGAAATCCTACTTATCACTTTATTCAAGTTTCCGAGCCTGCCTCACTGTACACTCTTTTTTGTGATGATGGTATGCCATTACATCCCGCGTAAAAAGAGAAGAAAAAATTAGCCTATGGCCACTCTATGATATAACATCAAATAACTAGCTCAAAGGACCACTATGTGAGGAAGGCAAGATAGTAACAACTCCATCCTGACGAAAGGGCGAGGAAAATCGGGCAATATCGTTTCTGAAAACCTGATACCTGAAAGAAGCTCAAACACAGAGCAAACAAAATGATTGGCATTTTCTTAACGCCTCCTTTTCTTTTGCTGTGAACACACATACTTTAGTTTTGGTTGACACAAGTTTTACCATTACTGGTCGACACTTGTTTCGAGAAAACGTACCAAGCCGGTGCGCACGAGTGATTCCCTCTTTAGAAATGCTCAGCTCAGGGACGTTAGAAAGCAGCGAGTGTACTTTTTGCTCAGATTGGGCCCAGGTCTCTGAGGGCGAGTCATCTATACCATGAAAGATTAGATTGTCTCGCCGAGACCGATCTTCGAGGTCGTCAAGTCTAGCACGCAAGAGTGCATTTTCCTTTTTAACTTCTTCTAGAGCCTGATGTGTAGTGCGTACTTCACAATCCAGTCTATCAAGAACATTAGTCTTAGTTTCCACATTCTGGAGCCGGTTAGAGATGTCAGTGATTTTGTCTTCCAACTGCTGTTGATTTGTTTTGATTTCATTTACTAACATTAGTAGTTTAGACTGACCATCTTGAAGCAGTTTGCACATGTCGTCAAGCTGTTTGTTACGCGTTTCAGGACCGGGGTTTACCTCAACGTCGCCGCATAGCATCAGCAATTTTACAACATCTATACTCTGACCGACGATCGAGAACAACTCCCGTGGGCATGGGAACACCAAAAGAAAAACGTCGCTTGATTTTTTAGTGTACAAAGGATCGATATTACTAACCTGCGTACAGAAGAAGCGAAAAACGTTAGCCGTCCGCATCGTATGGCTGTTCCCATGCCCAGTGAAAGCATAGGCGATCGGCCGGTCCCTCTTATCGTGTGGCGCCGCTGATGTCGCTGATGATGAGGCTGGCCTCTCGAACGTTTTTGGCAGGATGGTGGGCGTGTCCGGTGGGAGACGAAGTGGCGTGTTCTTGTTGATGACTGGCAGTTTACCCGCCGCTGTGACAGGTTTTGCGAGTAGAACTATAGAACTTGAATCCACTGTTGGTAGGAAGCATGTGCTGAACATCAACTGCGTACAGAAGAAGCGAAAAACGTTAGCCGTCCGCATCGTATGGCTGTTCCCATGCCCAGTGAAAGCATAGGCGATCGGCCGGTCCCTCTTATCGTGTGGCGCCGCTGATGTCGCTGATGATGAGGCTGGCCTCTCGAACGTTTTTGGCAGGATGGTGGGCGTGTCCGGTGGGAGACGAAGTGGCGTGTTCTTGTTGATGACTGGCAGTTTACCCGCCGCTGTGACAGGTTTTGCGAGTAGAACTGTAGAACTTGAATCCACTGTTGGTAGGAAGCATGTGCTGAACATCAACTGCGTACAGAAGAAGCGAAAAACGTTAGCCGTCCGCATCGTATGGCTGTTCCCATGCCCAGTCAGAGCGGGCCCAGTCATGACAGGGCCCGCTCGATGTTAGATGAATCGGCGACAAATTCATCGACAGCAGTTGGTGGGTTGCGAGCAAGGCCACCGAAGATGTCGCTCCTCACTCCTCTCATCAGGACGCGCAGCTTCTTCTCCTCGGTGGACTGGGGGTCGGCGCGGCTGCTCAGGCGGGGGACTTCTTCAACGAAGCTGGTGACCGTTTTGTTAGGCCCTTGAGTTCGTACTTGAAGGAGGTCTTCCGCTCGCTGTCGTCGTGTCTGGTTCGTGAATGTCCCCTTCAGGCCAGTGATACAGGTGTCCCACGACGTAAGCGACGCCTCGTGGTTCTCGAACCACTGCCTCGCGGTACCCTCCAAGGAGAAATAGAGGTTTTGGAGGCGCTGCTCAGTGGTCCATCCATTATGGCGTGCTACACGTTCGTAGTGCAGGAGCCAGTCCTCTACGTCTTCGTGGGTCTCGCCATGGAAGGTCGTCGGGGTTCGCTGGGCAACAGGCAGGTAAACGACGGCGGCGGCGGTCGGGGACTGCGATTGCTGGTCGTCCATCGTCGGCCTCGTAGGCTGCCTGGTCCTGGGTGGCAGAAGTCCGTATTCCGGGTGTAGACCTTGGGTTCGGCGACTGGTCCGAGTTTCAGGTTCCGCTTTGAGTGGTCTTGTCACAGGGCTTGGAATCGGGCTTGCACTGCGGGCCCTGGGAGGGGAACGCTGTACGGGCATGCGGTACCCCGCACCTCCACCAAAATGTCACGGGTGGTGACCAAAAGAAAACAGGAAATAAGCAGGGAGAAATAAACGTTTAATGTGGCGAACTTGTGCCGAAAAGTAAAAGGGTACAAAAATAATAACAGAGCGTCGCGGGCGTCGAAGTCGGCGTAGCAGCACAGTCGAACGCTGGGGCGAAAACTGACTGCGGCTCGCCACGCGGAGCCCTTTATGTACCATGCGTGGTCTTCTGGAATAATCGGCGTAGAAACTTCGACGCGCAGAACATTCGGGCCTGGAACAAGCAACATGATTCTCGAATTCTCCAGAACACTAAATTGCAGGAATAAACAAAAGACACGTCGCTCCTAGGATTCGAACCCTAGCTTTTCGCGTGGGAGGCAGGCGCGATAACCATCAGGCCACGCGCGCGCTGCCTACTTGGCTAGCGGGCGCGGCAATATATATATATAGTTCGATTTTTAACATCAACACACTAAAAACGCGATAGATAGGCCGATGCCGTCTTCACAGAATGTTTGTGGGGCTCGGCAGACATTAGATGAGTAAATAAACGTCACAGTACGTTGTCTAATTAGCTCTTTTAATTGACACTGTAATTGACCATGTTGAATTTTAAATTTTAAAGGGGCTATGAAGAAACAAACTATAGCCCAACAGAAACAATTTGCGAAAAGGTAACGAGTTTTGAGTTATTCATAGCTAAAACTCTGCTTTTCGTCGCATGATTAAAAACAGCGCACTGGACAGAGCGCAGGATGCTATTCTTACGTATTCCCTTCAGTCGAACCGTTGGAAGTATGATACTGGAGCATCCACCAAAGGCACGCTGTCAAAAGTGTGCAACTTCGTTCATGCTAAATACGACAGCACTTTATGAGGGTTGTAACTTCACTAGAAAATTAAATAATGCATAGAATTCCAGTATGAGAAGTTCTCGCTAACACAAACAAACATGCCATCACCGATATGCCATGTCAATACCTCTAAGTCACTCTTTACTTTGCCCGCCCCTGCCGCGCGTGGTTCTTGAATCGAGGGAGAAAAGTGCCAAATTTGATAAATAAATATCTGAAAGCCCCTTGCTGTTTCGTGAATAATTCTGATTGTGTTAGGCTCTAATAACGACTGCCTCTAAAACAGCAATAATAAAAAAAGTAAATTTACGGATTTTAATTACTTAAAAAAATGTTGCCACGGTTATTTACCCATGTAATGTCCGCCGAGTCGCACGACACACATGAAGAGTATATCAACATGACAGTGAGCCCCCAATTTTCTTGAAACCAGTTGATTAAAATATATCACCGGGTATAGCTGACATAATGTGGCAAAGGGTTGCTTCATTTCTCATTTCACTGCAGACCACGTGGTCCAAAAGTTCCCCGGGGAAACGGACGGCACTGTCATAGCATACTTACGTCGCAAATGCAACATGGACTTACGCCCAAAAAAAAAGCACAAATAGAAAAATTAGCTACATTGTACGCCACGGAAAGTAGCGTTATCTAACCTGTCAATAATTATTTTAGCTAGTCATTTCTATAAATGTAGCAATTGAAAAATCTACTTTTATTGCAAAGATAGCTTTTATTTTCCCTGAGTTGTATTTGTAACCTTTATTGAAGAATAAAAGTCTACTGTAAAAAAACTGTTAGCACCATTCGGAAGCTAGGCAATTGAGGGCAATCGCACCAAGTGTTTAATACTGCTGATGAAAAAGCATGCACATGACTTTGTTTTCAAAGTGCACCGCCACTTGCGTGCTGCCTCATAGGCTAGTAGACAAATTACGTTTGCAGGATAAATCGGTGTTTTTGTAAGGCAGGTCTCAGCGCACTATACGCTGTTTCAGATATCTGCATCCACAGCAATCAAAAGGACAGGAGGCAAAAGAAACCACGGCTAATAATGGGGACATAAGATGCTCCACTTTGCATAGTCGCATGCAGCGCAAATCAACTTCTGAACCGCGTAAGCGAAGTGGTGTTGGGAATGGAAGCTCGCTCTGAAATTGGCTGGAGAAATAGGCGCCTTCATGTAACAACCTCAAGCTTTCACCGAAAGTGTTTCATGGTATAGGTTTATCTTTGAAAACTCTAAGACATCTCGATTCACGTGAAAAGAGATTGACAATGGCAACAACGAACAACACCGTCGATCGAGAGTTCCACACTGTAAAAATCGACGTAAATTTGACGTGTCTTTCCCTCGTCAAAAAAGACGGGCACGCTCGTCGTTTCAAAACACTAGGTTGCCCTCATTATTTATGTGCGGCGAGAGCCGATCCTTCCAGAAAAGCCGAAATCCAAGCGGTGAAAGCATGCGCTGATGAGTCAAAGTAGCCTTGGGGACAAGGGAAAAATTGCTTGAGATAGTTTCGGTTTTACACTGAAAAACAAAAACCGAAAGTTTAGATAAAACCTAAAATAGACTAAACGTTTTGTTAAGTTTTTGCGAATATAATAAAGTGACATCATTATTATTAATATACTGATTTACTTAGTTCTGTCTTCAAAAAAAAAAAAAAAAAAAGAACGAAAAGAAGAGACTTTTGGAAACTGCGCAAGACCATCGCTATTGCAATCAGCTTCCGTTCGGCTGCCGTTGGAGTTCCGGAGGGTTCGAGCATCGCTTCCTTTTTTACGTTTTAGCCGTTTTAGCGGATATTTTAGATAGCTTACTTACGAATACCGTGTTCAATAACAGCAAGCGATTACTGAGAGCTGCAAGACGCAGCGTCGCAAGTGGCGGACAGTCATGGCCGGCTGGTGCAAACGAAGGCGAGGAAGCCTCTTTGTTTCTGCGAAGTGCGCCGCTGTTTCAAACTTTGTCTTGTACCGTGTGCTTGCTAAGCTATGCTTGACTCTCACTATAGCTCTACCCGGTTTTATTCCGTTATTTGAAAAGAGCGTATTTTCAAAATTTATGACTCTCTCCGCAGAGTGAGAAAGATTCGCGTGCGGCGGTACCGAGGGCCAGCCGAGGGCCAGCCGAGGGCCTGTCCTGGGCGCCGTCCCTACGACGGTCGCCCGACGACGCTTTTGCGGAGCGTTCAAGTACAGTCTAACGGCAGTTCAAGCAGTCACAGGTCATGCTAGTTCTGACGTGTGGTCCCAACGGTCTCTCGCCAACGATTTGTTTCATAAAGCGGGAGCGAGAAAAACGTTACGAGAGCGAGCAGCATGATTTCTTGCCCGTGCTGATGCCTGTGCCGTAGAGACGGACGATCTCTTTGCGTATGCCGAAGCGGCACGCTTTCCAAGTTTGCGGCTGTGTGTTGTGAATAAAGTGAGTTTGGATGTCACGTTTTTTAGTCGCGGCGAAAGCCGCTGCAAAAGGCAGAGCAGTTAGAAAAAGTAAAAACATGAAAGAATGTTAAAAGGACCTGAATATTCGATGGAGTTGAAAGACTACCAACGTACCAACTCGCCCAGTTATTCTTTGTCAAAGAATAATAGCCAATACTAATAAATTAAATAAATGCCAACTTTTAATTGGTTAGAAATTTATGATTGATACAGTAATCCCCTACTCTGCTCTAGTGCTTTTATATCAGATAATGTGTAAATATGTAGGATAGTTCATAGCAACCATTTATGTCCGACCCATTGTATTGAATCTTTTCTCTAAAAGCCCCAAGTTATATAAAAAAAGTGCTTATCATAAATTAAGCCGCACCACTGACTGTGTAATAGCGTATGATTTGTATGTGTGTTCTCAGCAAAAGAAAAGGAGGCATTAAAAAAAGGCCAATCATTTTGTTTGCTCTGTGTTAGAGCTTCTTTCAGGTACACGCAAAATGTGGGTGTCTACATCTAAAAAAATGTAATTGACGTTCCCCGCAGGGCTGCAGGCCTGACTCAGTTGGGCTAGCAGGTTGCAACCTATGGGACCTGCAGGGACCTGCATCACAAGAGTAAAAGTGACGTCCGCCCACTGATTTCTATTATGGGTGGCTGGATGATGCATCGCGCAGACAGGTATGAAGCCACCGTAAGTAAGCGGTCTGTCCCGATAGCGAGCGCTTGCCCGGCTTTTCAACTCTCCCGAGTGCTGGTTGGAACAGCGTTCAGGGCGCTGGGTTTTTTCTTGTCATCCCAAGAAAGCCTGCTTGTTGCGGAGTAACAGTGCATCCGGACTTGAGCACTCTCCTGGGAAGCCATTTGACGTGAACATTTTTTAGATTCTATTTTATCAAAAAGTGTGCATGTCCCCCTATTCTTGGGATTTCATCCAGAACTAATTTCTGCAGCGCA